CCCCAAAACCCCAAAACCCCTCGAAGCATAAAAAAGAGAATTTAGAAAATTTAGAAAATAAAATGACAGCCATTAAATTACAGCAACTATTGAAAAATAACAAAAATCCAATACTTAATAGTATAGTGATCTAACCAGCAACATCCTCTGTTAAAAGTATTCCAAAGGAAATCATATTTATGCATGGGCTATTCGGAAATGCCAAAACTTCAAGATTTTTAGCCTAGAATAAATAAGTAAGTTTTGATTAGCAAATCCTTATAATAATGAAGCTAGATGAGTAAACACAAGCATCATTTGATGGATTTAAGAAATCATGGAGATTCATTTTGGCATGATGAAATCGATTATTTAGTAAGCAATCATTTTTTTAACTTTAATATAGAGTATGGCAACAGATCTGAAGTCATACTTGGATTATCATTAGATTGGACGAGCTGTTTTAGTTGGGTAGAGCATGGGAGGAAAAGTTGCAATGACTTTTGCCAGTCTTTTTTAGGATCAAGTTGAGGGTATAATAAGTATAGACTCTCCCCCTATCGATAGAAATTAATATCCTGAAATGAATCATGCAACAAATAATCTTGTAACTCACCTATTTTACAATTTATTTAGATTAAAAGAGCACTTTAATTGAATTTCAGTAGCATGAGCTATAAGTAAGCTGTAGAGTATATAAATAAAGAACTGTTCGATGAAAGAGCTTTTGCATCTTCCTTAGCTATGTGTCTTGATAGAGACTCTTAGGAATAAGCTAAACTTAAATTAAACCTCAAGGCATTTGATAAAAATAAGTCTAATCTTTATGGGTATGAAGCCTATGGTTAATTTCGAGGTCCCTGCTTGATGATTAATGGAAGATAGTCATTTTAATATGAGATTGAGAATGATGTTAAATTTTATCAGCATGTGTTCCCTGAAATTAAATAATAAGACATAATAATCTTGGAAAATGCTGGCCACTGGGTCCATGCAGAAAGAAAAGATGAAGTTATCAAACTTATCTCGGATTTCATTGAAAGTCTAGATAATTCAAATTTAAGTAATTGATTTTTTTATTCTAGCAGTGATTTATAACTTTGGGGTTTTGGGGTTTTGGGG